AGGGAGCCCGATGCGGGACTCGATCCCAGGACCCTGGGATCATGACCTGAGCCGAAGGCAGACGCTTAACGACTGAGCCACCCAGGCGCCCCCGCGGGATTTTACTCTTACTCTGTTTTGATCCAGTGACAGGAGCGTACGTACCTGTAAGAACCGAACTGCCCTGGGGATTTACATCTTCAGGTTAATTTACACAGACGAAACATAGAATTACATTGGGCTGTTTTCTGGCAAGTTCTGTCTGCCCTTTGACCCCTCACAGTTCCCCACTGCCCCCCTCGTTGGCCTTCTCTTTCATAAGCTTTGTCTCCTCGTGCCTTTCTGCACCTCCTCCGCTGTCTCCTTTCTCCATCCTTCTTCATTTTCAGTGACCCCTTCTCGAACCTCCAGAAGCATTCCCGGCATCATCAGGGGAAGCACAGGGGGTGAAAATACATTCTTGGAGGATCAGTTATTGCATGGCAGAGGGTCTAGTCTAACAGGTGACAGTCCCAGAGTAGAGTTCTTGACTGTACTTGTCTGTGAAGGCAGAGAGGCAAATGGAAGTTTTAAAAAAAGGGAAAGGGATTTATTTAAAATCAACTCTCGGACCTCACCCTAGGCTCAGAGTATGTTCAGTTCAATTTTCTGAGCTTCTTTATTGGGGTGGATTCTATATAATCGTCATTGATATCGAAACTGATGATGCTGTATTAAAAATAACGACTAGATCCTCAGTCACCCAAGAAACAATATATTGTGTTGATTGCATTGACTACTGTTATACGAGGGTGTGGGCCAGTACAGTGGAAAATAATTAAGAGAAAATAAGTACTTAAGGACTTAAGTAAAATACCTCTTTTTATTTAACAATTAGTTAACCAGAAAATTAAAAGATCTCATTCCTTTACTCTTCTAGAGAGACAGTTTTTTCCTTTAATTAGTAAGCAACGTGACTACTGGTTATTTTCTGCGTAAGTGTTCAAACTTTGTTCTGTCTGACATTAGATAGCAGACCTTGGTGCTCCTAATGCTCTGCCAAAGATTTGCAGCGTCAGACTTAAGGACATCATGATCCAGGACTAGTTGAGCTGGTTCAGAGCATACAAAGAGCTTTGTTTCATTGGATCTTTAATCATAAAGGAAGGGATTCTGAAGCATCGAGAATAAATGTGTTGATTAGAATGGACCTCGAGCCTCTTAGAGGAAACTCCGTGCCTCTTCACTGCTCCCGCTTCCTCTTTCTTGAAGACCTTTCCTTTCTGATGTCCACGGTCGACTTTGCGGACACTGCAAGCAGGTTTCTGTGGTCCAGCTGGATGTGGTCACAAATCGTCAAGCTTAAGAGTGGAAGGAGTGCTGGGAGGGTCTTGGGGCGACCATCTCTTCCTATGCCAACACCCGCACTCCTTCCCCAGCTCCAGCCTTCCCTCAGAAACTGCCTGCAGTGCTTCCGGCTACCCCCCTCCCTTCTCCTCTCTTGGGAAGCATAGGTCTTGGTGGATGTGAAAGATTTTTATTCTTAATTTTTGAAATAATATCGCCCTGAAAATTCCAAGCAATCAAATCCTTGCAAATCACTTTACTTGGCAGCAGTGGTTTCAGGCTTAAAGAAAAGACGCTGAAGATAGGCACACGGCTTTTCGTCGTAACTAAGTTCACTTTTTGTATCCTGCGTGGCTGCCTTAGAAAGTGTCCTTGCCCAAGTAGGCTGTGGCTTCCAGATAAAGTCCTCCCTTCTCCTGAACTATGAAACATGTCCCTCTATAAATTGCTGTCACCACTTTTCTGCACATTTCAAATGAAGTAACTGAATGCAGAGTGACTCAGGCATCTTCATTTCCAAGATGTATGGGCATTCAGGAGTCCTCTTCTATCTGAGCTTTAATGGTGTTGGTGTTCACTTTTCTTTTGCTGTTCACGGGAGCCTGTTTTCTGTGTATTAGCTGTCCAACCTTTAGCCTTGTGGGTGTCTGTTCTCTTTGAAGTAGAGTGGGCTGCCACAAAGCATACCAGTATTTAGAGAGTGGTGGCTCCAAGACTAAAAACGTAGGTAACCTGATTTGCTTTGCAAAGGCTGATTTACAAACCTGATATTTCCAATGATTCTTTATTTTTAATTTTTTTAAATTCTCCACAGGCATTGCTTTGTTGGAATTGCTGTCGGTGAGGCTCTCTCTGTGGTGGGAGGGGATGATCAGGTGGTAAGAGGGGACATTTTTCCTTGATGAGCTTCAGTGTTGCACTAAGATACTGCCCCCTTTGAAGTGGCCTCTGAGCAGGTTTTGTGTTATTGTCTTCCTCCTCTGGCTGTAAGTTGGTTTGGAGCGATAGAATTTTCAGTAGTTTATAGTACTAAGGCATTTAGAGGGATTCCCACTTAATTCAGCTCAAAAAGATCAGGGTGATTCTGGAAGATGTAAGGATTCTGAGGAGATGTCAGAATAAAGCATTATGAGTTCATGAAATCTTTGTTTTTACACTTGAAGCCTGTAACTAGGTATTGCTGTTGTTTGGGTTCAGCTGTCTAGATTGGGGGTTGGCAGACTGTGGCTCATGGGCTAAATGTGACTGCTGTCTGATTTTGTAACTACAGTTTTATGCAACATGGCCACGCCCATTTATTTCCACCTTTTTCCTGTGGCAGTTTTCGTGCTTTCTGCAAAATTGAGTAATTACAGTAGAGAACACATGGCCTGCAAAGCCTAAAATATTTACTATCTGGTCCTTTAAAGAGAACGTTTGCCAGCCCCTGCATTAGATGATTTAGTCCCTTTCAAAGTAAGATCACCCCAACATTCTCTAAAGCAGCCCCAATTTAGATAACATTTAGATAAATTTGAAGCCCCGGGCCACAGGAAGCTTTTGGTGGCACACACTCTGTGACCTCTGGGGACATCTCACCAATGTCTTGCACCGCTTGCTTCGGCTCTGTCCCCTTTTTTAGGGAGATATGAACATTCAGACGTCGCCTCCTCAGAAACTAACACTCTTCTCTCCTTGACCTTTGTTCAACCAGTGTTCTGAACTTGAAGACCTTTATAGATTGAAAGCTGTAGCTTGGACCTCTCTCTATGGAGATCAGCATCTCAGTTTCCAGGGGGACGTCATCTCTTCACCCAAACTTCTACTAGCAAACCAAGAGGCCCGGAACCCCACAGTCCTGACGTGCTAACCAGTAGAGACGAGGGAGGAACTGATTTCTCTTTGTGCTCGACATAGCGCTGAGTGGGAAGGGGGCAGGTGTGTCACGACTCTCTGGACTTAGTGGCTTGCTTGATGGCTCCGATTTGGTAAAAATGAGTGGAAATGGCTTCAACCATTTAATGGTGATCATTAAATACAAGCCTTGCTGGGAAGTCTCGGGAGAGGGGCTGTTTTAGGCTAGGCCATTTCCCATCACAGAGGACCCCATAGCTGCTTTTCTAGACTCAACCTGTCAGTTGCTCTCATTTGTCTCTGTGTTTAAATAGTTGAGTAGAAAGTGCTACCTGCTTGAATCTGAGGGCTGACATGTGCTCATCAAAGGCAGGATTCTTCTAATGAGGGGTTAACTGAATGCCTCGATGTGGGACAGCACCTACCCTGTTGATGGTCTCCTGTTAGCAGGGGCTTTTGTTGGAACTTCCACAGTCTGTTGCAGCGGGCAGACAGAATGATCATCACATTTAAGGAGTAAAATCCAGGCTTTGTCAAACGTCCATTTAAACACTAGTAACAAGGGGTGCCTGGCTGGCTCAGTCGGTAGAGCATGTGACTCTTGATCTTGGGGTCATGGGTTTGTGCCCCACATTGAGTATAGAGATTACTTAAAAATAAAAATCTTTTTAAAAAAAAACCAAAAAACAAAAAAAACCAGTTACAGGTATGAGCACATTAAATATTTTCAGTGTAATATTTTTTGGTAATGATGATAAAACTTTCTCCTTGCAGTCTTAAGCTACCAGTGGTTAAAATTTGATTTCTAAATCCCTTTTAGGATTTCTTCAGGATGAAAAATTCCTTTGGCTTTTTGAACCTTCCTAACGCTGGGCTGCATCAGTGTCGTGACTTTAGATCTAGGATAGCCTGGTCTGGTTTCGATTTTTGAGCCAGAGGGCCCATTACCAGGAACAAAACTTTTTTTTCCCTGGACAGATACAAGCTGGCCACTTTGGTCTATACCAGTGAAATGTGTTTTAGGACTGACACTTCATTTTTTGGTATTTATATAATGTAATCCTCTCTAAGTTTTATTACATGGATTCTAATTGTGTATATTTATTTAAACATCAATATCGATATATTTTGAGATATAAAATGTACATGCTCAAGCTACGACAGTCACCCCTAAATTTGTTCTCCTTGAAACAAAATGAAGGTATCAGATTTCCTTGTAGGAATCCAAAATGATAGTATAATGTTGAAATTGCTTGTTTTGGCTTTGGGAGCCCATTTTTTAAAGCTCGGGGTCTTGTTCCTAAATCATGTGTTGAAATTACAGTGTGAAGCATGGTTTCCATGTTCTTTTATCCTACTAATGACCACCATGATGGATTCATATCTGATGTAAATTCTACCAGTTCTGCAGTAATACAGGAAGAGTGCTTTTCTTCATGTAGAGATGTGTATTCGTTCTTAGGATTTTTAAACCGACACTTCAAAATTAGGAGCTGGACTAGCTTCCTTTATACCTTCAGTTCTTTGCTCTCTTTTCCATCCTGTTACTAAATTTTGCCTTCTATCCTAAACCATGTGTTGACTTGTTTTCTTTTTTTTTTTCCAGTTATTCCAAAAGATCCCATAAATCTGAGGCCATAAGCTAACTTGCAGTCATTTTCTTGGTCAAAACCTGCTCATATGGGATCATTACATTTGGGATCCTGATGCCTGATGACAATTTCCTTTCCGATTGTCAACAAGACTCAAAATAGTGGGATCTTGGCATTTATCTTCTTTTTAGGAACCTGTGCTCATTAGTAGAGGGAAAATTTCTGAAGTAATCTAAAGAAACTTTTGGGAATATATTAAATTAAAAACATTTGTGACCAGTGGGGCACCTGGGTGGCCCAGTCGGTTGAGTGGCTGACTCTTGGTTTTGGTTCAGGTCATGATCTCGGGGTCCTGGGATTGAGCCCTTTGTCGCTCTGTGTTCAGTGGGCAGTCTGCTTGAGATTCTTTCTCTCCCTCTGCCCCTTTCCCAGCTCACTTGCTTTCTCTAAAATAAATAAATAAAACGTAAAAAAACCAAAAAGCCCAAAATATTTGTGACCACTTTTCCTTTATGCTAGAATATATCCATATATTACAAGTAAAAATTTTAAAATTACTTTATTCTGAAATGCTATTGAGTTTTGGCAGTATTGGAAAAAGTCCTTGAATGATATTACATAAAATTGAGTATTAGTACCTTATGAATTAAACAACCACTTTGCAGTTAAATATTCTTAGACACTGAATATCCATGGAGATCACATAGTCTTGTTCAGAGTACATGGAAAGCTTAAGAGTATCGCAGAAGGGGCACCTGGGTGGCTCAGTTGGTTAAGCGTCTGCCTTCAGCTCAGATTATGATCTCAGCGTCTGACTCCCTGCTCATCAGGGAGTCTGCTTCTCCCTCTCCCTCTGCCCCTCCCCGTGCACCTGCATGTACTCTCCCTCTCTCTCTCTCTGAAATAAATAGTAAATAAAATATTTTTTCTTAATGTTCAATTAGTCAACATATAATACATAATTAGTTTTTGATGTAGTGTTCAACGATTCATTAGTTGCGTATAACAGTGCTCATCCCCACACGTACCCTCCTTAATACCCTTCACCCGGTTACCCCATCCCCCCAGCTCCCTCCCTTCTGTAACCCTCAGTTTGTTTCCCGGAGTCCAGAGTCTCTCATGGTTTGTCTCCCTCTCTGATTTCTTCCCCTTCAGTTTTCCCTCCCTTCCCCTGTGGTCCTCCGTGCTATTCCTTACGTTCTACATATGACTGAAACCATGTGATAATTGTCTTTCTCTGCTTGACTTATTTCACTTAGCATAATCCCCTCCAGTTCCATCCATGTCGATGCAAATGGTGGGTATTCATCCTTTCTGATGGCTGAGTAATATTCCATTGTCTGCTGCTCCCTCTCCCTCTGCCCCTTCCCATGCTCCTGCACGTGCTCTTCCTCTCCCTCTCAAATAAATAGTAAATAAAATCTTAAAAAAGAGTGTCAGTGAAGCTATATATCCAAAGGAGGAGACCAACCGAAATATTCTAATGAACCTCACATCATCATTGGTAATCACATACAAAACACATTAAATAGGTATATATAACTATATATATATGTATAATGCTATATAAATTGTATGTATGTACCTGATTAGAGCTCAAACTTTTTTGTCATATGAGAAGAGTTGAATTTTACACTTGCACGTAGGTTTAGGTTTTCATTTATTTGTTGAGTGCCAGTGTATATAACGAGGGGGTTGTGGAAGCTATTGTTCAGGGAAGGAATGGTTCAAGATCATCATTTAGAGCAAATATCTAAAAAATAAGACTTCTACCCTGATTTGAGATTGCAGGTGTTTTATAAAGTCTGAAAATTTGGAAGTTATTTTACGTAATACTCAATTCAAGTGATTAGGTCTTTTGGTTTTACTTACTGGAGTGACACAGCGATGGTCCGGAGAAGTTAGCCTCAGAGAAGGGTCTTCCTACAGCTCTACCTCCCGTCCACTAGAGGGCTCTGTTGCTCTGTGATACAGTCCAACAAAAGCCCCCAGCGTCTCAGTATAGTTTTCCTCCTCAGCTGGTCTTGCTTTCATTTTTGTTAAATAATGCCTTTTACTTTCCTAACATATCTTTTAGGCCTTGTACTTCTTGGTGAAAGAGTTCAAACGGAAGACTGTTACTAGTGTCATGTTTGTTTCTTTTTCCTTTTCTCTCTCTCTCTCTTTTTTTTTTGGCTTTTGTTTTTTGTATAAAATGCCAAGGATGAAGAGATCCATTTAATAAAAAGGTCCATTGTATTCAGGGAGCAGCCTGTTCTGCCAAATTACACAAGGGCATGTGTTTTCATGACATTATTG